TAGATTGGGACTCCCTACACACAGTGACTCATGCCCTCGTTACTTCTCATTTGGACTACTGCAACGCTCTCTACATGGGGCTCCCCTTGAGGTGCACTCGGAGGCTCCAACTGGCGCAGAGTGCGGCCGCGCGGGTGGTGATGGGAGCGACATGGAGTTCCCATGTAACACCTCTCCTGCGCGAGCTGCACTGGCTCCCGGTGGTCTTCTGAGTACGCTTCAAGGTTCTGGTTATCACCTTTAAAGCGCTCCATGGCTTAGGACCTGGTTATTTACAGGACCGCCTGCTACCACCAATAGCCTCCCACCGGCCAGTACGCTCTTAAGACTTTTCTATTTTATCAAGCTGGCCTGGCCTAAATCTTCCCCCTTTTTAAATGTGAAAATTTTAAATTTTTAAATTTTAAATTCGTCTTATTTATAGGGGTATGGGTAAGGCGTTTTAAATTGGGGAGCCATTTTGGATTTAATTCTGTTTTAAACGCATTTTAATTGTTTATATTGTATGTTTTTTAATTTTGGCTGTTCACCGCCCCGAGTCCTTCGGGAGAGGGGCCGGTATAAAAATCTAATAAATAAATAAATAAAATAAATAAATTTTGAATTGAACTGGCAATTGGCAGCATTGACTAGGAATTGAATAGGATGGACACAGCTTAATGTTGCGTGGAGGGTTTCTAAGAAGTGGGCTTCCAGCCTGTCATCCAGACATCCCAAAATAGCAATACTACTTAGAAGAGGTGATGTCAGCCCCGAAGTTGGCCGAACTGTGGCCATTTTCTTTTTGTGTAGTTGCTAGAGAGGTTTCTTTTCTCACGGCTTCAAGGCTGACGCAGCCTGGCGTGAAGGGGCTAGGGAGGGGGTTGGTAGAGATTAGCTGGAGTGTTGTAGTCTAAATAAAATTCTTTCCCCTGGGAATCAAGGAAGTTCATGCAGGTGTCTGCAGGGCAGAGGCTGAGGTCATCCTGCAACTGGACTGTATGCTGATTGGATCATGTGACTGAGACTCTGAGAGGGAAAATGATGAAGTTTTTCTTTTAATTAAGGGGGGAAACCAGCACCAAATTAGAGCCAGTTTTCCACCAGGAAGTTGCCAGTTTGACAAAATGTTCTTTGAGGAAATCGCCTGCCTCAGAGTTCCTATTGAATGGGACTTATCACTTGGAACCCTGACAGGTGATATGCTAGAGGTAGACCCAATCACAGAATTTCCTTTCAACCTGACATTGGATTGGAAAGAACTGTGAGAGGGATCTTGGCGTCCTAGTGGACAATCACTTAAATATGAGCCAACAATGTGCAGCGGCAGCCAAAAAAGCCAATGCAATCCTAGGCTGCATTAATTGAGGGATAGAATCAAGATCACATGAAGTTCTAGTACCAATTTACAAAGCCTTAGTAAGACTACTCTTGGAATATTGCATCCAGTTCTGGTCACCACAACATAAAAAAGATGTTGAGACTCTGGGAAGAATGCAGAGAAGAGCAACAGCAATTATTATGGGGCTGGAGGCTAAAACATATGAAGAACGTTTACAAGTATTGGGTATGTCTAGTCAAATAAAAAGAAGGACTAGGGGAGACATGACAACAGTATTCCAATATTTGAGGGGCCTCCTATACAGTCAAGGGGGGGTCAATCTATTTTCCAAAGCACCAAAAGGAAAGATAATGGATGGAAATTAACCAATGAGAGAAGCAACCTAGAACTAAGGAGAACAGTGAGAACAATTAACCTGTGTAATGGTTTGGTGGCTTCAGAGGTTGTGGGTGGCTCCATCACTAGAGGCTTTCAAAATGAGACTGGACAGGCATTTATCTGAAATGGTCTAGGGTCTCCTGCTCGAGCAGGGTGTTGGACTAGAATGAAAAACAAGGGGAGAAGTCTCCTTTAATCCTAGAAGTTGAAAATATTCCTTTTTTTCTCCCCAAAGCCCAGTGCATCACTCAGAGGAATCATTCAGGTTGTATTTATCTAGTAAATAGGCCATACAGCCTATTTACTAGATATTACAGCAGCGTTGAGAACGTGTTAACTTTTCACCAATGAAAGAGTGTGCATAAAACACACAAACCAGGCAAACTATTTTCTCTCTGTCGGAAATCCTAGATTCAATTTAAGACTTTTGATTCTTTGTGTGGCAAGCCCCATTCTTCTCTTTGTAGAAATATTTTCTACTACAGAGAATTGAATAATGCAATCAACTGTTTGGCTGACTAATGGAAGGCAGCACTACATAAAATTGCTTTGTATCCAGCTCTCTTACATAATTGTACAGACGTAGGCCAGACATGGCCTCAAGCTATTAACAGGGCTGACTGAAGTATAGTGATTGGGTGAATTCAATCCCTGAGATAAATCATGGTTTAACAAAAATAACCCAAATGTGGGATTCATCAACCATGGCTAAAACAATCATAATAGACCTAACCATGGAAAAACATGTTTCTTTTGTCATGTTCCCATAGCATTGCCTTCATCTCATCTCCAGACCATCAACGAGACTTCGTTCTCCTTAATCATTCTAGTATTAAAGATACTTTTTGCCTCATATTTGATGTTGTCCAAAGACAATTTCAAAGTGGAGAAATGTTGTTAGGTTTGGTGGCCGGGGGAACTCAGTGACTGCAAGAACCAAGGAAGGGCGATGACCAACAACTATATTTCATGCTACTATGGCTTCCTTCTAATTCAGTGTTTCCCAACCTTGGCAACTTTAAAATGGGTGGATGAGAAATTCTGGGAGTTGAAGTCCACGCATCTTCCAGTTGGGCAACTCAGTTCTAACTTAAGGATGAGTGAAGACTACTTGGCCAAGGGGTGGGTGCAAGGATGACAAGTTGCAAAAATAAATACAATACATTATGGACCAGGACTTTATTGATGAACCAGGAGTCAGGACCAAGTTCAAATATCAGCGTCTATAGAGATTCTCAATCATCCAGGTCATGGTTTTCTCAAAGGTGATTTTCCAAAAGGCAACTATACTGTTTTGGTTTTTTTCCTTGAAAATATTATGAAAAAGCTTCTTGGATTTGAAGTGAAACATTTTCAAGGAAAAAGGTAAGAAAGTCCAGTTGCCTTTTGAAAAAGCACGTTTGAGATAACTATGTCTCAATCCGACATGGTTGATTGAAAATCACCGCAGACAGTTGTTAAGCAAAGTCATTAAGTCGAATTCTATGGAGACTCTCAGTCATCCAGGCCATGGTTGTTCCAAATGTTCTTTTCCAGAAGGCAACTGGACTTCCTTGATTTTTTTCTTAAAACATTTTGCTTCTCTCAGTTAGGTCAGCAGGGGTTAAATTACTTTGGGCTGAAAACTAGGGGCAGTCTTAATACACCAAAATGACAGGGAGAAAATCTGCTTCTCTAATTCCTAAAAAATCCACATTTAACAGTCAACCTGCAGAGGGCACTTCAAGACCACGGTGAAAAAAAAAGAAGTTCTGTAACCGGTGGACCACTTGTAGCTATTATGGGATGCAGGAAAAAGCAAAGCCAGAAAATATCCGCATTGCTGAACATAAACAACAGCGAATAGGTTTTCATTTTTTTAAAGTCCGTATTAACAATGGAAGGACTACGATACCGACTGCTAGTGCAGACAAGAATTTTAGCACTTCACTTATTGTGGCTGGTGGCTGTGCTTGAAGATGGTTTCTTGAGTTAGTTTTTCCAAGCTTTCTTGGGGAGGGAAATGGAAATACACTGATTTTTACCAGTGTCAGAAAAAAGCACATTATAAAGTCAAATTAACTTCAGGTAGTTCTTGATTTACAACAATTCAATTAATGGCAATTCAAAGTTACAATAGCACTGAAAAGAGACTTATGACTGTTTTTCACACTTACAACCATTGCAGCATTCCCTTGGGTCATGTGATTAAAATTCTGATACTTGGCAACTGACTCATATTTATGGCGCTTGCAGTGTCCTGCACTCATTAGATTCCCTTTTGCAACCCTCTTACAAGCAAAGTCAACAGGGAGTCAGATTCACTTAACTACTGTGACAAGGAAGGTCATAAAATGGGGCAAAATTTATCTAACAGTCTCACTTAGCATCAGAAATTTTGGGCTCAATTGTGGTCGTACATTGAGGTCCACCAGTATTAGACGATCTATGGAGTGCAGAAATAAACCTGCCATAAATACTAGAACCAGGACATTAAGAAAAAATCATTAAAAAACAAAAATCTGTGAGTTTGAAGAAACCAGTTCAAGAAATACCTCCGGGTGAAATCCCTCTTCATATATCACTGCTTTCTATCAAACCCACTCTAGCAATTGTTTCTCAATCTTAGCAACTTCATTTTGTTGGCTGGGGAATTCTGGGAGTTGAGGTCCAGCCAAGGTTGTGAAACACTGCGCTACAGGTAGACCTTGATTTACAATCACAATTGGGACCAGAATTTCCATTGCTAAGCAAAGCGGTTGGTTTTATAACTTTTTTTTGCAATGGTTGTTAAGTGAATCATTCAATGATGTGAATCAGGTGGCTGTTATGCAAATCTGGCTTCCTCCATTGCCTTTGCTTGTCAGAAGGTGGTTGGGAAGATCGCCAATGGGATCACAATTGTATTATTATTATTATTATTATTATTATTATTATTATTATTATTATTATTATTATTATTATTATTCAAACTTCTATACCGCCCTTCTCCTTTCGGACTCAGGGCAGTGAACAGCCAAAATAAAAACATTTATACATAACATTGCAATTAAAAATAGATTTAAAATAATTAATAAATTTGGCCCATAATTTAAAACTTGTCACCACTGCAACCATTGTAAATACATTGCCAGTTGCTGAGCGCCTGATTTTTGGTCATGTGACTATTAGGATACTGCAATGGTTATAAGTCCCTTTTCCAGTGTTGTCGTAACATCACTCACTAAATGAATGGTTGTAAATCAAGGACTGCCTGCACAGCTTCATTTAACAGTTAAGAGAAAGTAGTTAGAACTGATCATCAGACCAAACAGGATCTTACCTTTCCATTGTTTAATTCATTGAGGGAGACAATTGTACATAAACTCATCTGGATAGGGTAATAAACATTCCCGCACTTAAAATGTTCGGATTCTCGGGATTTCCATGGCTGTCGTAGCAGAAAAGTGCTGCCATTTGCTCTGATAGAAGAACGTTCTTGATCTAGAACCTGCTGGCTGTTGCATGAGCAGGCTAGTGGTGTGCAGGGATTGCGAACGTCCTCCAAAATACTTCCCAAACTCCGAGTTTCTGCGGAGGAACCTACTGAAACACCAACATTTGGCAGAGTCCTTGCATACCCCGGGTTATCTCCTCGCACATTGGCATGGTGATGGTCTTCTCCTAGAGCCCTCTTGGACATCTGGTTATCTATTAATTCCTCCTCCAAATCTGGAGTATCTGCTATACTTCTGAGGGCATTAAAATCCTCGGCAGAAGTACACACCACTTTGATATCCATTTCACTATCATACCATTCCTCACAATTCAAAGAAGAATCTTTTTCCAGGCCTGCAATGTCCATCTCGACCTTTGTCAGATCTTGAGACTTTAACTCTTCTGTATCCAAGCTCTGGGAATCTGCTGAAACCTCAAGAGAGGACCGGGTATTCTCTGGGTCCCAAGGAGGCAAAATCCAGGCATCTCCTGGAGCAGAACCTGGGTCCTCATCACTTAATTTGTTAGGAAGAATCTTCTGCTTCTGTAGCAGTTCCGTATGTAAGCCATGTCCATTGAGAACCAGACAATCACTTGGACATTCTGAGTGGGGAAAAGATGGCATACTTTTCCTAAGAGATGAACAAGGTCTTTCATTGCTGTGGTCCTTCAAGGCTTCATGAGACATCTCAGCATTGGTATCTCCTTGGAGCGGACCAGCTGAGATTTTGGAACTGGGGTGATCCCACATCTCAGAATCGGGTGACAGTCTAGTTAATGAGAAACTGTTAGCATTATCATTTGCAATGATCAAAGGCTGCCTTCGATGAGATCGCTCCAGCCTTTGCCGTGTACAGTTGGAGATTTGTTGTGGTTCATCCTGAGAAAATGTCTTGGAAGATCCCCGCCATTTCCTAGCTGCTCCAGCCACGCTATTAAAAAACCTAAGGACACCACCAAAATGACTTCCCTTCCCTCCATGGCCAGGCTTTTTAGTCTGGCCCATGTTGTCTTTGCATCCTGCAGCAAAAGCAAGATAAGGAGGAGGATTCTCCATTGCGTTTTTCAAACTCTGAAGACCCGGTTCTGCAGTGGAGTTCTCCAACTTGGAACAGTCCTTGCCTGTCAATGAAACCCCCTTTAGATATCCCCAGACCTCAGAACTTCTTCCTTTCTTATTTTCAGGAGCTACCGAAGCAACTCTTGCTTGAGAATGTCCTTCAGCATCCCGAGACTCTGGAGTTTTTTCAAACTCATGGGCCACATTTTTCTGAGCCAACATGTTGTAACAATAATTATCAGCATTGCTACTACTGACTCCCAGCTCTAGCCCTCTGTGCCATTTGCTTTCGCTGGATTCAATATCCAACACACAGCTATTTAGTTCAATATCCTCAAATGAAGAATCCAAGTCCTCAATGAAGCCAGCATAGGAGTGACGGTAAGGCCGCTGGCCGTCACTGAGCTTTCTAATTCTATGGAGCGCTTTTTGTTCAAGATCTTCTTGAGTTTCCACTGAGATTATGATAGCCTTTGCTTTGGATGTATTTCTGGATAGACCAGAAGACCGTAGCTTCTTATAGGATCTCACTCTTTCCATGAAAGACATCTTACGATTCTGCTCCATGATCTCCACATGATCTCCAAGGAATATCATGGATTGGGGCCGTTTGGGATTCATGGAGGATCCTTTCTTGCGGCCAACAAAATTCCAAATCCAACTGCCCCTGGCCTTCTTCTTACTTTTGCTCACATCCTCTTTGCCAGGGTCACCGATGGCACCTAGATTAGGATACGACTGTTCGGTGCATCTTTCTTTTGCGTTGGCTTGAAAATTCTTGGTTCCATATCCATTTGGAACTGGGGTAGAGCAACCATGTTGGCAATGGTCAATAAGTTCCATACTTCTGATGGTAACACCAAGGTCCAAATGTCAGGCCTCCATTGTCACTGAAAGTGTCTCCTTTGCAGAACCTGAGGAGGAAATAGAAAATAATCCAGTTAAGCTTTCTGTCTCGAAACATAAGATATATAAAAAAGGAAAGTTCCATGTCCAAAAATAGTCTAACAGCTGAATCCTTACTTCACCAATATCAAAGGTTCATTTGGCTCATTAGATTCATGAACCAGAATTCATGAGATCCTGAGCAAACACACCACCATCACTTCCTTCCTGAATTAATATTTCACAGATACTTGCTTAAGGAATCAGGACATACTTCCATCCATCTAAACAAGCAGAATTTGATGGAAAGAAAGAGGAACCAGCATTGACCAGTGATACATATTCTATCAGGCAGCGAAAGTCATGGTTTTTGCTATCACTACATTACACTAAAGGGTACACTTTTCCTTAGCAAATAGCAACTGCTGAATCTAAAACTCAGAGTTCTCACTTCCGTCACAAATGATTTGGCTCAAATTATCATAATTTTTGATATATTATGCAAAGACTAAGCTCTCTGGAAAAGGCTCTAATGCTAGGAAAGTTGGAACGAAAGAAGGACAACCAACAGCAAGGTGGGAGGACTCATTACAGCAGCACTAGAAACACCCTTGTTAGACCTGAAGAACCAGATTAGGACAGGTTGCTATGAAGAAAATCCATCTACATGGTTACTAAGAATTGATACTGATTTGATGGTACCTATAATCAATCATACAGAGGAACAAGAAATAAATACTTTCTGTTATTTCCATGCTTTGAAATAATTGGCTGATTAACAGCTCTATTTTCTTCACTTTCTCTGAAAAGAAGGACTAGAGAAGACATGCTAGCACTGTTCCAATATTTGAGGGACTCCTACAAAGACAAGAAGTTATTTTGGCTATTTTCCAAAGCATCAGAAAGCAAGACAAGAAACAATGGATGGAAACAAACCAAAGAGAGAAGCAACCTAGAAGAACTAAGGAGAAATTTCCAACACTGTGAGAGCAATCAACCCATGGAATAGTTTGCCTTCAGAAGTTGTGGTGCTCCATCACTGGAGGCTTTCAAAATGAGACTAGACAATCATTTATCTGAAATGGTATAGGGTCTTCTGCTCGAGCACAGGCTTAGACTAGAAGATCTCCAAAGTCCCTTTCAATTCTATTATTCTATGTTCTCTCCACTGTCTTGTTCCTCCAACTTCTCTCAATGTGTTCCAGAGTAGCTGGTCTGGTTGGTCTTGGAAGTTTTATTCCCTAATCTGTCAGAAGTTACTGTGCTCCTATCTATTACTTTAAATCAGGACATCTACTGGGCAAAACTGAAAATAGTGGACTTTTATTTTAAGGTTAATCATTGATCCAAATCAAAAAATTAATAGAATAAAATAGAATAAAGATAAAAATGGCATGGAGATGCATAATGAATTTTAAAAAATCATAATAAGGAATGCGATATTTGTTTTCACACAGCAACACAGGATTTAGCCACAGTTCTAATAATACTAGAGTTCAAATTGGAGAGTAGAATCTTTGTATAATTGGGAGTCTGTTTGTCTTGTAGTAAGAGACATAAATTTCTGGAATGTACAGTAAGCCCCCAGAGTCATTGATTGAGATGGGCGGCTATAGAAATTGGATGGATGGATGGATTCTGCATGCCTGTACAGATTTTGCAATAGATCAGATAGGTAATGGTTTGTGGTTAATGGTAGTGGTACCACACTAGTGAGGCCCCAATATTGTGTATAGTTTTTTAAAAATGCTGAGACTCTTTCTAAAGTGTGCAGAGAAGAGCAATGAAGATGATAAAGGGACTGGAGGTCAAAACTTATGATAGAAAATTAAGGGAACAAGATATGTCTACTCTAATGAAGAGAAGGACTACAGGTGATATGATAGCAGTCTTCAGTGCTTGAGGGGTGATCGAACAGAAGAGGGAATCAACTTATTCTCCAAAAGCTCTTGAGGGGAGGACAAAAAGTAATGGGTAGAAGCTTGTTAAAGAGAAATCCAATCTAGAAGTAAGGACTAATTTTCTTGCCTAAGGTATGACTAGATTTCACTGTCTCCTGGTGATTGCCCCAAAGTCACTCAGCCAGCTTTCATGCCTAAAGTGGGTCTAAACTCACAGTTTCTTGGGTTTTAGGCTGGTGCCTTAATGACTAAACTGGCTCTTTTGAACAAACTGGGGGGGGGGAATCCCAGAAAATTTGTGCCTTCAGCCATTGCAAAGATGCTTGAAGCATCAACCCATAGGAAGCATTGAGAAGCCAACCCTTGTCGGTTGCAGCTTCCCATATCATCTGCCATAGCACTGAGGATCTTGCCCAGAATTAGCCCCAGAATTAGCTGACTGCACTGCATGACACACTCATTGTCTTACAGGACTCAGAGAACATTAAATGGGATTGTGATTCCTGAAACAACTGCTCCCATCTGTCCCTTCTGTTGCGGAGCAGGAAAAGGACAGACTGGCCATCTGGACCATTGTTTTGCCGAGGGAGTAAAAGCTCAAGACCGAAGCAGGGAGAAGCGTGTTTTCCCAAAGGCCTCCAAGTCAGTCAAGGAAATTCTGCCTGAGTTTCAATGCCTTCATATCCGTTCCCCCTTCAGGAAGGCGAGAGGGAGGGGAGGAAGGAGGAACAAACAACTGGCAACTTTTGAGAGAAACCCAGACATTTTTTAAACAGAGAGCCTCAAACTTCCCCTTGAGAGAAAAGAAAAGAAAGCATCCCCCCCCACCTCCCCAAGCTGCATTTCCACTGCTCTACATTGTCACCAAAAAGTAGAAAAATAAAAAAGGAGGAAGCAGATGTTTGGGCCATACGGCTTCAGGAAGATCTTTTTCACAGTAGAGCTTTATCAGCTCAAGGGGGCCAGATAAATAATGAAGCTTCACTCGTTGCTACTCCAAAGATAAGATTGGTCCAATGTGGTTTGTAGTGGGGAAGCTGCCGATTAACAGTGGGGAGACCCAAATTCTAGTCCTTCTTCAACTACAAAAGTTCTTCTGAAGGCCACTTTCTTTCTTAACAAAGAATCAGTATGATATAATGGAGATAGTGGTTAAGGCACCAGGCTAGAAAACAAGAGATGGTGAATTCTAGGCATGAAAGCCAGCTGGGTGACTTTGGGCCAATCACCAGGAACAATGAAGTCTAGGTGTGAAATTCAGCTGGGTAACCTTGAGCCAATCACCAGGAGACAATGAGTTCAAGTCCCACCTTACGTACGAAAACCAGCTGGACAACTTTGGGCCAATGACCAGATGACATTCAAGAGCCTTTTAGGATTCTCCAAAATTAGTGCCTGAATCACCTAAAACTCATGATTTACACAATCTCATGACGGACAAAATCAACTATCACCAAGCATCTCAGCTATTGAGGTAGCTTGAAATAATTATTGCAGGCAACAGCAGAGGCTGGGACGTAGCCATTCTATGCAATGCATCCAATCTCTTCACAAGCCCACCAAATGAAAGAATGACAGCCAGATGTCTCACCTGAAGAAGGGAAGGCAACTCAACTCAATTAGTAATGACTCTAATGCAACCTTCCTCGTTTATGAGCATCTCTAAATTTCTAAATATTTAAACTCTCAGATTTCTCCCATCAGTGGAGCCATCACTGACGATTCTGGGAGCTGAGACCATCACTTCTCCAAACCCTAAGATGGGAGAAATGACAAAAAGCTGGAGGTTCTTCAGGACATACTAGCAGGATGAAGAAAAGGTTAGCAAGATACTAACTTCACTACCTGATGGTGCAACAGAAAGAAAAGAACTGGAAACTCCTAACTTGGACGGAAGTTATTTATATTCTTTATTCAACATGGCAACCTGCAGGTATAAGCAAAATAAATATAATGATTAGCTCAGAACAAAAGAGCTCTGAAAACTACCACATCAGACTGACTGGAATTTGGGGACAGGTTAAATATACAGCAGGCTTAACATCTGCTAAAGATATTCTCTAGGATCTCAGCAGGCTCAATTAGATGTTCCAACACCAAATCCGGGAAGGAAACAAACCACTGCATTAGGAAAAGGCTCGGGAACTGATGCCAAATGTTTTACATTGAGGTTGAAAAAAATATTCAGGATTGCATGTTACTTCATCAGCAAATTAAGACGAGGTGGGCGAGGAGATCAAACAGCTGGATACAAGCACCACTTAGCTCAAAGGTGGTCAGACATTGAAATCTTAATAATATCTTGGTGGGATCCAGAAGTGGCTATTTTAATAGTCATTGAATCACCAGACAGTGATTTTGAGAACAATAAGAAAGTTCTCACAAAGCAGAAGATTGGGCTTAGTGGCCTTCGGATTGCAGAAGAGCATATTAATAATACCTATCTTTAAAATTAAGAGATGATAATATTGCAGCAGTGTCATCGAACATTGAACAGCTGTGGTGGCGCAGTGGTTAGAATGCAGTATTGCAGGCTAATTCAGGTTAATTCACTGCCAGGAGTTTGATCCTGACCAGCTCAAGATTGACTCAGCCTTCCATTCCTTCTGAAGTCGATAAAATGAGGACCCAGACTATTGGGGTAATATGCTGACTCTGTACATCATTTAGAAAGGGCTATAAAGCACAGTGAAGCAGTATATAAGTCTAAGTGCTATTGTAAGACAAAAATCTACGATTTACATATTGCACTTGTTGGATTAAAACAATATACAAAGATGTGACTTGGTGTGATTGGGCAACTTCAACTCAATTTGGGAAAGTTACTGGTGGCACAGTGGTCAGAATGCAGTATTGCAAACTAACTTTGCCCATAGCCAGGAGTTCGATCCTGACTGGCTCAAAGATTGACTCAGCCTTCCATCCTTCCAAGGTTGGTAAAATGAGGACCCAGATTGTTGGGGGGCAAGAGGCTGACTCTGTAAACTGCTTAGAGAGGCATAAAGCACTGTGAAGTAGTATATAAGACTAAGTGCTATTGCTATTCACACTTTCCAAAGCTTTGGAAGGTGTCTTCTCTTTTTAAAACAAGGGTGGTACAAAATACTTGAACAACCTGATCCAAGACA